AATTTTTTTTTTGCTCAACGCCCTTTACGTCCATTTAACTTCACATTTTTATGAGGATATTTCTTTGGCTGGCATTTTCTAGCAAATTTTTCCTCTGAAACCAAGCATCTGTTCTCTGTAGGTGGTTGAAGGGTGTCACTGGTAGGTCCTACTTCTTTACTTTCCCTCTGTTGTTTCTGTCTGTGTGGGTGGTTGGAGGGCGCCACTGGTAGATCCTACTTCTTTACTTTCCCCTCTGTTGTTTCTGTCAGTCTGTCTTACTTTTTCCCAGCACTAAATGACCATTATTCTCTTTCTCTCTCTCTCTCTCTCTCTCTCTCTCTCTCTCTCTCTCTCTCTCTCTCTCTCTCTCTCTATTTGCAAATGTCACTGTAGGCCTATTTGGGTGGGAGGGGGAGCGGGGCTTTTATCATTAGTGACTATTCCAAGATGCATCACCGGAATTGTCTGTTTACCTATGGTTCGCCTTTAACCTTTGACCTTAGACGGTCATTGAGACGGATAAACAACGAATAATGTTTTGTGAAAGAGACGTAAAATGGCTAGGAACGTAGAGGAATACGATGCGTTTCTTACTGACATTATGACTTCTGTCCAGCACTATCGAGATCTGGACAAAAAACAGAAAGAAGAACCCTCCGAAGCAGATTTTTTAATCCGTCTTGAGGGCCAAGAAGTTGTCGATTTTAGCTCTCAGTATGGAAGTGAATCAAGTATTTCCTACGTTGCCAGCAATCTTGCAGGAAAGACCTTTGTGTTTCCATCGTACGGAGATTACACACAGACCTGCGTTTTTGTAAGAAAAGTTATTTATTTTGTGTCTATGAACGTGTTTGTACTTTTATCGAGAGCACATACAGTCTAGCACGCACATATATAGTAGATCTATAGCAAACATCATGTACTACATATACTTAAATAGTAAAGGCCGGTTCTATTTCTCCAAACGTTCGGAAAAATAAAGCTAGAATCTAGATATTAGATCTAGATCTAGGCACTTATTTTCTCCGAACATTCGGGAAAATAAAGCTAGGCACTATTTCTCCGAACATTCGGGAAAATAAAGCTGGGCACTATTTCTCCGAACACTCTGAGTGAAATCACATCCTTTCCCGCAAATTTCGGATTACATCCGTATAGATCTATAATTATAATATAGGCCTACCAAAGATTGTTCGTATACAATATGGTTCAATTGGTCCAAAAAATGTCGGCAGTAAATATTTATCTAAAGAAATGCTACTGTTCCAAACAGTTTTTCACTACAGATATGACGCGTTGCCTATGAAGGGTGCTGCTCTTAAACTTAATGTGTTGTGTTCACTCATGTGCTGTCTAGATCTAGATCTAGATCTACGGAGGGTTATTGATAACCACACATAGAACTAGCATCTGTGTTTGTCGCGGCCGCGACCAATCAATCATGGCTCGATTTTCTGACATTTTTTGGTCCCCGAATCGGAGAATAAAAGTCAAAGAAAAAAAAAAAGAAAGAAACCGAACGTCTTTACTTTTGAAAGAAAGTTCACCTAGCTTCACTTCGTCTCTTTTTCACTTGTTGTCACCACGTTGATTTGTTGAATACGTTACAGTTACTTTTATTTTTCCCTCTTTGTGGTGTTTTATTTTGTTACTGTGTATTTTTTTCTTTCTTGTTATTGTTCTGATGTGTTGTTTTTCTATTAATTTTTTTGTTGTTGGGGAAAAAGGGGGGGGGGGGTGTTGTATAGTGTAACGTCATTTAATTTGATGTTCCTACCTTCATTAAATTCTAAATATATATATGTATACATATAGATTTAAATGCGTTATGTTAGAGCGTACGTTCCACCAAAACCGATTACATCATGTATACTGACACTGGCAGGCCCCTTAATACAGTGTGTGATTCCATAATTTACATATGTAATATCCTGTACTTTGTTTTAAAATTACGCACATTTAGGGTTAAAACAGCCAATCTTCTTCGGGCAGGTGGACTCACGCCCTTATTTGTTAATTTTTGTGGTTGTTTATGGGCTGTTCTAATTTTGATTTCATTCTGTTGTGAAACCTTTCTTTTTCACGTTTTTACACTCATCTAAAAATCTCTAGACTCTCTCTTGAAAATTGAAATAGATGTAGACCTAAAAATTTGCTCCTGTGTGTGTGTGTGTGTGTGTGTGTATGCATGTGCGTGTGTGAGTGTGTCTGTGTGTGGTAGTAAGTGTGTAAGTGGAGAGTGAGGAGCGTGTGTACGTGTGTTTGTTTTTCGGGCTTTATTTCAGCCTTTATTCAGTAACAGTTCAAAGTATACAAAAATAGAAACACAGGATCCATTCACTCCAGGGCTCATGAGTCGTTCCTCTCTTTCAGTTTCACTCATTCATTCAATTCCCGTGTTCTCTCCCGCGGCTCATCCCCGTCCGCATGACTTTCATACCCCACCCCCTCCCTCCAGGCACACACAAAGAAAATCTCACTCACTCATTCCCTTGCACCCTGCGAACCATGGACAATAATATAGGCAAAACACTGCCTTAGCCGCATTCCTTTCGTTCATGAGCTGTGGACCAGGCCAGGGGGGTCGGTGTCATCATCTTGTAGTTGCTGTCGCCTGTGGATACACTCGTACTCGTACATTCTTCCTTTCACCTGCTCTGTCACTCACACTGTCTCTCCATCTACAGCTCAGCTCGTCATACGTTCAAAAGTTGCCCACTGATCATGTTCAGTTAGTGTGTGTATAAGTTTGTGTGTGTACATGTGCATGATGGTGGTGGGTGTGTGATGGGTGTTACTGAAGGTTGTCCGTATGCGGGCTTGTCATGCAGTGTTCCTTCCCAGACCAAAGGCAGAATGAAAGTTGGCGCCGAACTCTTGCAATAAATAGGGGAAAAATCACGAGACCGGAAGCCGGAAACTGTTTGGAGAAATAAAGATCGGCACTATTTCTCCGAACATTCGGAGAAATAGTCACTTCGTATAGTAAAACGCACACTTGCACATTGAAAGCGTATTGTAATGAACAGATTTTTTAGGTCTGAAAATTGTTTCTTGGACGATGACATCAGACTGTAGACCATGTGACGTTAAGCTAAGCCTTCCCAAACTTAGTAGTGAGTCAGTTTTACTTTAACGTTTTCAGAAATTGAGGAAAACTTCCTGTGCAGTTGAACTAGATTCTATTCCTTTTGGTGACAGGTAAACCAAAGATAGTAAATAACAAGATGGGCCACTCAGCCAAAAAAGTGTACGCAGGAAGTATGCTCTTTGCTTCAGATGGCGCTGCAGTCTGTTTTGAAGCTCTCTTTCGTTTTTCCAGAAGAAGAATAGGAATAGCACCTCCTTGCGTGCGCAGATTGGCTGCTGTTCATCAGCAGTTCGGGTACGTTCAGTGCCGAGTTTTTAGGTTTTTTAAATTTTAATGACCTCTCGCCTTTCGTTTTAAAGTCAAATTAAACGAAGAAAACCATAACCCTTTCCTCTGGAAGAGGTTTTTTGTCAGCGTAACCATTTTAAAAAAGCGTTCTTCCAAAATTTATCCCAAAACATGCTAGTTTCACTTTGATTTTGTAAAACTCAAGTAGGGTAACTCTGTTCTCAAAGAGTGCGCTTTTGTGAAGAGGTCGCCACCAAATTTTGAGGACACTTTTTTAATTGGCTCAAAGGGAGAAGTGGCCCATCTTGTTATGTACTATCTTTGGGTATATTTTATCGGTCCGATACTTTATTCAAAGTGACTATTCCTCTGAACGCTCGGAAAAATAAATTTGACCTCTATTTCTCTGAATGGTTTCCATTCTCGAGATTTTTTGGTTATTTGCGAGAGTTCAACATCATCTTTCATTCTTCCATTTCTGCGAGGACTGGGAATTTAAGCATTTATTGCATCGAATTCAATTTCTAGAGCTAGAGATTTTTAGATGTTCTGAATATTCGGATACTTTAATTGTGATTTGGGCAACGTTCCCGGACTAGATCCTATATTTCATTTGAAAATGTCTTTAAAAGGTACTGCGAGAAAACAAGACTGCTCAGCTTTGGCATTAACCTATTTTGCATTTAGAATTTAGTCACCCCTAAAGCAAAAACTAAATCACAAAAATTTCCTCCACGCTCTCACGCCGCCTCCCCCCCCCCCCCCCCCGTTCACAACTTATACACACACGCACGGGCCACTCCATTGGCAAATAACCAAAAATCTCGAGAACGGAAGTCGTTAGGAGAAATAGAGTTCAAGTTTATTTTCCTGAGCGTTCGGAGAAATAGTTAGGTCAACGTTCCACCTGATATAATACTAGGGCCTACTGTATAAATGACAAAAATCACTTTTTCATTCTTGGTAATATTTGATGAGATATATAAAATGCAGGGTTTCCCAAAACTTTTCAAGTCATGTGACTTACACAGTTTTAGGAGACCAGTTCTCATTATATATATATATATATATATATATATGGGACAGTGTGGTGAAATCAGGCTCTCATCAAAATAATGAAAGTGAAGAAAGTAGCATTTTTACGCAGGTTAAATTTTAGTTTTTTGGCTCAACACTTTTCATGCCCTTTAAAGAACACATTTCTTTTTGGATTACTGAAAAATGTTGATTAAAGGCACAGAATATGTAAATTTTCAGTTTTCACGGACTCTCAAGCTAAGGAAATATACCACCTCTATTCTCACCCAGGCTGAAAATAGTGCAATTGTAGGCCCCTCTCCCAGGATGAAAGGGCAAGCCTTTTGGCCAATCACACTTGATGTGCGTTCACCGTGATACCAGTGTAAACAAACATTCCAACACTTTTGTTGAAGGAAGTGGCTATTCTCACCCAGGGTGAGAATAAAAATGCGATCGACCTCTCACCCTGGGTGAGACTTGCCAGCTTTGGCTAATCTCACCCGGTGTGAAACAAGACCTGTTTTTCCAAATTTCTGAATACTTTCTATTGGTGTGGATAATCAAATTGACAAAAACAAAGAAAAAAATGATGTTATAGCACACAAGTAAACTAATTTGGTCGTCTAGAAAGATGCTACGGCTATTTCACTTTTCGAATCGAGCCGAACTACGCCGGTCGCCATATTGTTCTTGCCTGAAGTTCTCGCCAGATCAAGGCTACTCCTTCTCTCTCTCTCTCCCCATATCTTTTCCTCCTCCCCCCTCTCTCTCTCTCCTCTCCCCCCCCCCTCTCTCTCTCCCCCCCTCTCTCACTGCCCACATACAAAACTGCAGGCTTTCAACACAAAAGCGCTGGAACGTTTGTTTACACTGGTCATGTATCACAGTGAACGCACACTGGGTGAGAATACCCAAAAGGCTCGCCCTTTCACCGCGGGTGAGAATAGAGATTCCCATTGTTGAAAACGGGCAATTTGGTCTGGGGGCAGTGAGAGAGAGAGTCCTGCAGTACCTGAGCATTTTGCCTGACCTCAGGCAAATGTGCCCCGATATGGGGGGGGGGAGAAAGAAATGTAAGAGAGAGAGAATGGGAAGCGAGAAATTCCGGGCATAATGAAATGGCGACCAGCATAGTTCGGCTCGATTAGAGAAGTGAAATAGCCATAGCATCTTTGTAGACGACCAAATTAGTTTACTTTTGTGCTATATTATAACATTATTGTTTTCTTTGTTTTTGTCAATTTGATCATCCACACCGACAGACAGTTTTCAGAAATTAGGAAAAACAGGTCTTGTTTCACACCAGGTGAGAATAGCCAGTGCTGGCAAGTCTCACCCGTGTTGAGAGATCGATTGTATTTTTATTTTCACACGGGGTGAGAATAGCCACTTCCAAGGAAATTTAACTTATTTTCTCACTAATTTTACCTCTGAAACCAGGTCACCCCCACCTCTTTCATTTGCAAATATCTCAACTTGTATTCAAGATAAATGGATATTTTTTCATCCAAAGCAAGACGAATGAACAAGCTTTAAGATGATACCAATAACTCTGTACACCTAAAAAAAATTGACAAGAGCCTGATCCACGGTGTTATGATACATTTTCTTTTTTTGCAAGGGCCTCTTTCATCTTTTTATTCTTTACTACTAGGTTACGCTTCAACAAAATCTTTCACTGTCTTGCATAATAATTATAATGATAACAAAATAATAATAATAATCAATAATGATGATGAAGACAATTCTACTACTACTGTTACTACTACTACTACTACTACTACTTCTACAAAATACTGCTCTATTGAAGACAAGTTGATAAGAATAGTGAAAACTGATAATAGTAATATTAACTGAGTAGTAATACTGAGTCTGCACAGCAACATCCTTGGGAAGCAAGCCTTTGTTGCTGTTACTGTAAGGCTGATGTTGCTGCTAATTGAGTTTTAAGGGGAGGGAGGGGAGGGGGCGATGATAAACTGCACGAAAGAAATGTTACTGCAGTTACCCTCTCTCTCTCTCTCTCTCTCTCTCTCTCTCTCTCTCTCTCTCTCTCTCTCTCTCTCTCTCTCTCTCTCTCTCTCTCTCTCTCTCACTCTCTCGCACTCTTTCCTCTCTCTCTCTCTCTCTCTCTCACTCTCTCCTCTCTCTCTCTTTCTCTCTCTTTCTCTCTCTCTCTCTCTCTCTCTCTCTCTCTCTCTCTCTCTCTCTCTCTCTCTCTCTCTCTCTCTCTCTCTCTCTATCTCTCTCTGTGTGTCACTCTCTCTCACATGCGGACAACCGCTGAGTTTGAGAACGACAGATGTAAGCCATTGGCCGATATTTATAGTAACAGCCATCTTGTTTGACGTCATTGAGGGATTCCCACTTTGTTGTCGTTCACAGTGGCAACACGACCGCAAAGCACTATTGCAGTATTTTTTAAGCCTGTAGCTTACCGTGGCGTAGTAGTGGACTAGTTAGTGCGCTTGTCTCGAAAGCAGAAAGTCCAGGTTCGAGCCTCGGTTCGGCCACGGATTTTTTTTCCGCCCCCTCCTGCCTACCCACCTGTAATGGGTATCCGACTTCGAGTTGGGGAAGTAAAGGAATATTTTTTATTATTTTTTTCTCAAAAAATATATAAGATAACTTAATAAGCATGTGATGTCGTGACTTTGATGGATTTAAAAAACATACAGAACATTTTTTTGATATCTCTCTCTCTTTTTCTTTCTCTTTTCACACTCACATGCATACTCTCACAAGCATGATTCTTACCTTATAGTATGCTGTGATGCCGTTACGCAGCAGGGTGCTTAATTTCATTGGCCGCATCAGTGCCGAGGTTTGACCACTGGTTTTCTTTTGAAGTAAGCTGATGCTCAACTGCAATGCGGTATTGTTGTATTACGCTAGTGGCCAAGATCCCCCCCCCCCCCAACCCCCCGCCCTATTCCCGTCCCCTGCTAGGAGACTCTTCAAGGAATGTGGCTCTTGACAAGATGGTCCGAATTATAAGGCCTCTGTACTTAAGAATATTTTTGGTCCTGTGTCCTGATTTTTACACCTATATTTGTTGGTTACCTAAAAATGTATTGACATGGTGCAAATTGTTATGTTTCAAGGAATTCCTATTTCGATGCTTTCATCATTTAGAAAACTAAAATTTAAATTGTGTTTCAATGACAGGATTTTTTAAAAACTGAAAGTTATGTTGCAGTGGTAGTGGTAGGTCTCTGATGACATAATCACTGATTATTATGTTATCCGGAGTTGTGATTGTATTATTGTTGTAAAGAGCTTAGAGTGCCGTTGAGAGAGGATGCTACAGAATTTTACATATATGATTATTCTATGAGTTAATTTGTGCCAACCAAGGGTTCAGTGTTAAGTATGTTTAGGCATGTCCTATAGGGATGTCAGTTATGTTCTTCAAGTCTTTTTGTCTAGTTAGTTTTGTCTCTTTTACTTTCACAGAGGACATATGGAAAGTGGTGGAAAGTTGCTCCATCTGGAAGAAGGAAGTATTTAAGAACATCATCAGACTTTTATGGTGAAGACTTTATAGGTGAGAAATGTTCAACACATTCTCCTTCCTCCCCACCCGCCTCCCCCAATCCCTTTTTATTTGTATGTGTATGTTATCATCACTAGACTGGTGGTGTCTTGTGTATATTTCACGGACTTACTGACTTTCAAACAAATTTTATTTGAATCAATTTAGACAACAACTGAACCTGCTCTAGCGTCATGTGTCCAAGACAATCATCTGTTCAAACGACCAATTCCTAATTCCTCCTTTGTGGGGTTGGGGGGGGTTTTTGTGGTGACACTGATCAAGACAACTGTTTTTCTCTTCGACAATAGGTGGCTGTCTTAAACAAGTTCTACTATATTATACGTCTTGACACACTTTCTGTGTAATGCTGTTTATTTCTTATCCTCATGTACCTACCTCTCACATTCACAGATCCATGTTATTCAAACTTACGACCTGAAGAACTGGGTTGGTGTCATAATTTCTCTTTTACTGTTTCAGATCCTTTCTGCAAAATGAGATGATCTTTTTTCCAAAGCCAACAATGATGCTGCTAGTTATAATTCAGTATTTTTATGACATTCAATATTGATAAAACAAAGAATATCATCTGTCCTTTTTTTGTAATCACCTAGAAATATTAACATGTAAAATCAGCTTGTACCTGTCTTTATAATCTCATTGACTTTATCTATATGGCAATACTTAATCGAAGATGACATTAATGTGGCGTGTTTGCATAATTTACAATGCTCAATGCGCTTAAATAGTAATAATAATTGCTTATACTGCGCCTATCCGCCCTCAACAACTTTTTTCTATGCACTTTACAACCATTATTACCCCCAGAGGATTCTAGAACACTCGGAATTATTCTCGGCTTCCCAGAAAGCTTTATAGTGCAAGCTGTGGATTTCTTATTCTCAAACCCTTACAAACTGACAAGATCTTTTGCTTCCTATAGCCTCGTACCCATTTCCGTTTTGTGGTAGTGAGAAAAATTCATATGAAGTGCCTTTTCCAAGGACACAATGAGGGGGCCCAGACGGGGTCCGAATCCACAACCTTTCGGTTGCAAGACCAACAACCTGACCACTAGACCACAGATTACTTGAGACTTATTAAAGCCCTTTTAAAAATTAAAGAAACGAGATGGTAGAGCAATTGTCCTCAATCATTAGAATGCTGGGGTAATTCTATATTGAGCTCTTGTCTGACTTCCCAACTTCAATAGCTTTGAAGCTTGAAACAGCTCTGTTTGTCATGTGAGCTTGCATCGTATCTTCATGAACCATATTATATAAATCAGTTTCCACCTCTTAAATAGACTCTTAATATAGATCTGTAGATTAAAAGATAGAATCATAATACAGCTTAATGTTATGAAAATCAATATAAAAGTTTCTGAGTATTTTTTCTCTTCAGATGTAGAAGGAAGGAAAACTATAAGCTCAAATCTCAAATGGTGGTGTTTTCTATCATATTTTCAGAGGTTTCATTTGCTGAGATGCTGTATCCTGTTAGAATCGAAGTTTATGAAACCTACAATCCGGGTGCAATTATTCGTATTCTTGCTTGTGATAGAGCCAAAGGATCTGACGTGGATAAAGGCATAAGGTTAGCTCATTATTTGAGATCATATAATCACCTGTTTTCTTTTATTCTGATTGCTTTACATGTTGTTGAAAATGTGCTTTGTTGATTGTTTTTCATTGATTATGTCAAAGTCATGAGACACAAAACACTGATTTGTTGTTTGGAGCGCAGTAAAGAAAAAGCAGTATGTGCCTGTATTTGAAAACTAATTTATTAAATTAAAAACTCTGAAACTGGGTCGTCATTTTTGTAAAACAGGTAACAGATTGGCGGTTTATGTCTGTGTTAATGAATGTGTGTAAGTCTTAGTTTTTGTTACAGGCTGGGGGGTTTTTAGTTGGAGAAGGAAGGATGTCAAAGACAGTGTTTTTTACTTTCTTACTTTACAAAACTCCCATTTGTATATTTGCTTCTGTGCTCCCTTGAAAGGGTAGCGTAAAGTCCCAAACTATTCCTGTAGATTTTCTTAGGACTAATTACACTAACTATTCTGCTGTTTTGTTTCTTTGTTTTAGAAATTGTATTCTCTTTTTCAGATGGGTCACTTTATGGTCATCAAAGCCAAAGGCATGCAAACAACGACCCAGGATTTTTGCCCCTCGGTTGAAAAAAATGAATTTTGCAACAAAGTATGACATCTTTTAAAGACTTGTTGAAAAAATATTCTTAACCCTTTGAGCCCTGACATCCTGAGGCTACTGTGCCCCTTAGCCTGAGCTCCTGAGCAATATATCACTAACATTCATTTGACCATCACATTCCATATCCCACTCTGGGTAGTCCTTGTCATTACCAGCATCTAATTCCGAAAGATCTTCAAAATAATCAATAACGTCCTGTATACTGTTTCCCGTGTGCATTTTGTCAGAGACGTGCTAGGTTGAGGATAGGGTCTTGCTCTCTGGTGTATCGATGACTAGGCATATGGGCAGTTTTACATGCTACTGTTGTACCAGTGACAAGGGCTCAGAGGGTTAAAACTGCTTCTTTGTTTTGTGAACCCTTATAATCAAATTTTCCTTTAAGGATACAACCGTAATGATGTTGTAAAGCATAATAAACCTAACGTCTGAGTGTATGATAAATTCCTTCTAATAACGAACATCTATCTCGTCTTTGCTTTTCCTCTTTTTGAAGGGGGTTGCTGTAAGTTACTGGAAGCTAAAGCAGTCAACATGCTCTTCTGATGCGGTAAAACGTTGAAAGACCCTAGTGAGCTTGATGTGTAGGATTATCTTCTTTCTCGTTCAAAGACTGCAGTCACGATTTTTATTATTTTGAGTTGTATCCTATTGAGCTTCACAGTGCAACGGGTTAATAACATTTTCACAGGAGAATAATGACATAGTGCATTTAAAAATTAACCAAGAAAACTTATTAGTATCATTCTGTAAAATTTGAAGTTTGAAAAGTTTGAAACTTTAAAACTAATATTTCTCAAAATCACAAAAATATGACTATGCTGGGTTTCTTCAACTGTCATTTTCTCCAGCCTCATCCGCCTGGAACTGAACCACCAGTACATGGATTACTACACTGAACTGGATGGTATCAAGTTGGTGGGTACCAAGACACCTCCAGCTCCAGACTTGCTAAGGAACCATCAGGTTTTACCTGCTGACATCGGGGACGTTGAGGACTCTAAGGATGGGGACCAAGTTTTTGATGGACCATCTTCCTCTGCCAGATACAGTGAAGAGAGTAAGTAAATGATCTGTCGTGAGTTAATGTATGCTGGTGTTTTAGTTTGACTTAAGTCTTGCCGTTTACCGATCGAAGTGCTTTCTTCTGGCTTGTGAAGCTATGAGCCTCAGCTTTAAAACAGCAGATGTTTGTATGCTAGTGAGCAGTTTACCAAGGTAAAGTAATGCTTTGTAGTCTTTTTTTTTTTATATAGTATATATATAAAGGTTACCAAAATTCAACATTAGGCAGACATTCCAAACTTTAGAAAAATTTGCATTCTCTCATTTCACGCAGATTTTATACGTATGCAATAATTACCATCCTATCATGCATTCATTGTTTTGTTTATAGCATACTTGTATCAGGGTGTAATCTGATTGTGGAAAAAGGAAGGAGGTTTTGGTCGCCAATATATATAAACCATATTACATTTTGATCTTTTCTCGCTGTTTGGATTTTTTTTTTTTTTCAGTGAAATAGCAAATCATTGTACAAGTGCTCCAATAGAATCAGAGCTCTCCAACTTAATTTTTTTTTTTAATTAATTAATTTTTTTTTTGCCAGTCAAAGAACCCTTATTGGTTTTGAATAAATTCCTATTTTTATATTGAATTCTGTTTCTGCTAGGTGATATGCAATGTATCATAATCTTAGTTTTCTGGGGTTCTGGAGAGCTCCAAATGTTTTAAACCAAGCTCCAGTATCTTTGGAGGATTTTGAGGAAAACTCCTATTTTTGGTCATGAAGGGGTTGGCTGGTCTTTTGTAGAACTTGGCAAATCAAGTTTGCTACTTCAGATTTATGCAAAATCTATTTGTAAGCAAATATTTTAACTTCATAATGTGTGCGATCAGACCCCTTAACAGTCAAAGATGGGACAGAAACAACTTGTTTTCAAAGAATTCATACAGAAAGCTGATACCTTTATTTATTTTTCTCTTTTACAATTCAGTAAAGGAAAATAAACAAGTGTTCAGGAGAAAAGTTTTCAAGTAAAGTAACATGTGTGAGGCAGCATGGTGGAATCAGGTGCTCGTCAAAATTATGAAATTCCATCGCTTCGTGACACATATATATAGATCATCTAGGTGTAGTCTGTCCATGTATGGGTGGTGTGACCTCATAAGCTATTTGTTTGATGTTCTTTATTGCCCTTCTCTTTACCCCTCAACTTTTGTTTTTACAAGGATATGGTAAGACATATAATGCAACTGCTGATGGCATTGATGAGCTTGCTCTGAGTGTTGATGCCTTGTCCTTCAGTGCAGACTCCGAGGAAAAGTCTTTCTTTACACAACTACCGGTATGTTACAATGTTAGTTTTGTTTGTTCCTTATACTTTTTAAAAGAAATTTTTGCTCTCTTCATGTGCAGTGTCATTTTCTCCTCAAGCTGTTTATTGTTCATTTTGTAAATTTATGTTTTTCCAAAAGCATGTTTGTTTATTAAAATTTAAGTCTTTTGAGTCCTAGTCTGTACAAATAAATGCTAGACAATGTTGCCCCTGATCTAGTTTAAAGAAGCAAGCATTGTTTGTCACAATTTGAATTCTTGTAATTTCCGTTGTGTTGTTGCTATGAAATTCCAGTTTCATTTTTATCAGAGAGTGGATGGAGGATGACAGTGCCGTCCCCTAGTTCTCTCCTCTATCTGTGAAAATATTTTTCTCAAATTTGCTTTGTCCTTATCATGATACATAAATTCGCTGTCATGTTGTGCAGCACATTGATATATTTCACCTGCTTAATGTGTTTCTTTCTCTTATTTCCCAGAAAGAACTGATTCACTTCATACTTAAGTACCTTGATATTACTGACTTATGCAGACTTGCCCAAACCTGCAGGTACCGTACAACATTTGATTTTACATATCTATTGAAAGATTGAAAACATGTGTCTCATTGCCCAGAATTTGTTTTCTCCTTCATTTCACCAATGAGTGTGTTTAATTTCATAAAGCAGTATAATTTTAGCAGTTGCAGTGTCTTGCTAGTATCTGCAATAAAAAAAAAAATTTTTACTAATACTTTTGTAGAGGAGGATGGAAAATGTGTGCATGTCACTAATGCTTGTCTGCAGGTATACCGGATCTTTATTCTGTTTTGTAATATGAAAAATCATGGGAAAACACCTCACCTTCCTTTAGTTGGTACATCTGATGCTCTTTTTTTTTAAAGATTTGTCACATATTTTTTATTGTACTTCATTCTACAGGACATTGTAATGATTGTTTTATTTTGTTTATATTTCCTCCAACAGCTTATTACGTGACCACTGTTATGATCCCCTGTTGTACATAGACCTCAACCTTCAGCCGTATTGGAACTTGGTTTGTGCTGTTTCTGTGTTTTCTTACCTGTGTTTTCTTTCCAGTGTTAGTAATAGACAAGACCATACTGAAAAAGATGGATTTGCAGTCAAACCTCTTTGTAGTGCCTACTCTAGAACCTAATTAATGTCCTTCACCTTAACAAATTGTATACTGAAATGAGTTGACAATAGAAGAAAGAGATCCTTCTCAATTCTGTATTTTTGTCTTATTTAATCACTTTATGGCCCTGGATACCCCATTATTCAGTCAGTTGTTTGTATTGATTCACGTATACTAGCATTTCTCTTCACTTATTATTTTGTAAGCCATTTTATCGAAAAGATGTTCTCTATCATTTTCTGCAGAAAGCTCATGTTATCAACGGGTTTTTTTCCTGTCATTTTATATGTGACATGCATGTTTTTAAAATAAGCGCAAGCTTATGCTTGAACAAATTAGAGTTCATGTCTGCTGCAGTCCTCACACTATGCATATATATGTCTAGAGCAGTAGGTTGGTCTGCTGTAAGATGGGATTTGCAGATGTCAGAACTTGTACAGTGGCACCAGGGTCCCTTTGACAAGAATAGTTTCTCAAGGAGCCTTAAATTTTGATTTCTTAAAAATAGTACCACATTCATGCAAGTTCACTCAAGACATTTAGTATGCAGAAAACGTGCTGGTTTTAATATGGTGACAAAGATTCTTTGGAGCTGCTAATAGAACAAGTCTTGTTTTTGCTAAGCACTAATTTTTTTTTAAAGTGATGATCACATAAGATGCTGCTGATGATGATAAATTTTCTTTTTCCTTCCCTTTTTTACCTTGTCATTCCATGAAAAGATGAAATGTTGCGTGTGCTTGGTTGCCAGTGTATGGAGATGTTGATGTAAGGTCTCAGTTCATTTAGAGATTTTTAAAATATACCAGGACAGACATGTTCAACTTTTGCCAATCCTCATTAGCTATACTGAATACCAGGAGACTGTATATATAGTGCAGCTGAGAGCAGACATACATCAGAGGGAAAACTTAAATGCTTCATGCCTATAGTTTGATCTGCATCTTTTTTTAATAATAGTTCTGTTTAAATCATTCTTTTTAAGTTAGCTCTTATCGCAGTGACATTACATTTTTCCTCAGGTGTCAAATGCCAGCCTCGATGCCTTATCCCAGCGCTGTGAACGTTTACAAAGACTGAACTTGTCATGGCTGGGTAAAGGAGGCCTCATCTACTCTGATCATTTAGCCTAGTAAGTTTGAAGTATTCCGTTTGTTAATCTTCTTGTGTTGTGGGGATGGGATGGGAAGATATAGAGTTTGTTATAACATGTTGCTTTTTTTTAACCTTTGGAACATACCCTTTACATAATGTGCTTCGAACATTTACATCAGCCTCTGATGGTTTCAGTATAACAGTTAAGTCAAAGGAACTCTGGTGGGAAACGGGATGGGGGGAATGTCCTGTGGGCTCCAGGAACCAATGCTTAAGGAAAAGAAGCCTTAAATGCTATTTTGTGTTAAGCATGCAGTTTAGCATGTTATAGTGACATCTTGAGGATGGAGATTGTAAGAAATTTTGCTTTTTTTGGGTGAGCCACTTATCCTAGGTTGGATATTCTGCTCAGTCATTAGCTGGAATCGTTCATAGATCTGTATTGGATTGAAATTTTTATAAGTAAACATTTTCCACGTTCAGCATTTTAGGGGAATTATATGAGCTTCATTCAAATCAAAATGATGTGAGGGGATTATTGTGTAATTGGAATTTTTTTAATTTCAAATTTCTATGGAAATATCTTACTAAATTCTGATTTAAATGTGGCCTTGTCTGCTTACCAAGTTTTGGCAATTGTCATAAATCAGTTCTTGAATATTTATCTGTGCTTTCAATATTGTACCTTGTTCAATGTCGAACTCATAATTTAAGTGCTTCACAAGCTTGTATCTTCTAGGGAATAAAGATTGTTCACTATGATTTGTTTCCCTGTCATCAGCTTCCTGCATGATTGTCAAGATCTGCAGACTCTAGAACTGACTGCATGCAAGATAATGGATAGCAATACACTAGCACTTATTGTCAGCAACTGCAGAAATCTACAAGGTGAAAAACTTGAAAATATTGCTTCTACAGTACGACATCATTTGTGATGACCAGTTATCGATCTTCCCATTACTGAACTAAGACCAGAGGCCATACATATCACATTTGTGCATATATTTATCTTGTCTGTTTTCCTAATCTTTATCGCTTCTTTTGATTCCATTGTGTCTCCAAATTTTAACAAAGTAAATTTTTCGGTACTCTTTCATATATCCTGAGTCTATTATAGTTGTTTTAATAGTGTGGACAGAAATGAAATTATGTCACAAATGATTCAGATTGCATCAGCTTTTTCCATAATTTGTGTACCCTTTTATGTTATCTCTAAGGTGTGGCCTTGCTTTAGGAAACATATTTTTAAACTGATTTTGCCTCTGATATTTTGTTGTCTTTTTTACACTTCCATTCTTGAAGAAAGCAAAATGAAAGTTAAAATGAGTTGTATTTTCTGTTTTGAGAGTATGCAGGAATTGTAATCTCGCTATGAGTGCACCATTGTTTACATGCTTTTTGTTCCTCAAATATGTTACCTTGGCAACAGAATTAAACCTGAGCAGCTGTGTGAACATAGAGGATTTCTCCACCTTCAACGTTCTCAGTTTGCCAAAGTTGAGGATGCTGAACTTGTACCGGACTAAGATTGACACCCCCTCTCTACTCGCACTCATCCGGTAGGTTAACCTCTTCTGAGGGATAAAGATTGTGTTTGACCCAGACGTGGTGGATGTGTGTGTGTGTGTGTGTATATATATGTACATGTATATTTATAAGCTTTAAAAAAGAGCCACATCCCTTGCCAATCCACCCTACATTTTAATGTATTAATTTTGTGTGACACATGCAGTTAGCTTTGGAATGATTTAGACCCTGCGGCCCAAGTCAGCAGCAGTTGGAAATATTGTATCTGTTGTGATACTTTGTCTATACGAATGAAACTATTGGTACATGTTTTTAGTAAGTCATATACATTCTCTTATAAAAATACTCATTTAGTAATTCTCTGCTCTTACTGATGTACTTTTGAGAAACTGTAATTATCCTTAGACTTTGCTACATTTGTTGATCAATATTGGGAGTCAAACATTTGCATCTATTTACCATAACACTGTTTTCTAACTATTTACTGGCCAATGTTGACTTTATAACCAATTTTTTTAGCAAAGCTTTTAGTTTCAGTACAGGCCAAGCACATGTTCAGCCTCTCAGGTGCTGTCAAGAGCAAGTGCTTTGTTCCTTTTTTCCTAGCTCAAAGGGCAAAAATATGAAAACTGTGTTTATTGAGCTCTGATTAGAACTGTATTTGTCGCTTACTGGCCAATGAATAGCAAATATTATATTGTTAATCTTTGGCCGATGAAATACTTTGTTAAATTTTTAGTTGCTTGAAGGCATCAGAGATCATTGCCACAAAAGTACAGTGGACCATGCTCTAACAGCCACCTATAGAAGGCAATCACTTGTACAAACGGCTGCTTCCCATTTCCTCGCACATATTAATTTTTTATTTTACATCATGATGACACTGTGAATGACTGTGTAAGGCATCCACTTGTGCAAGGTGGCCATTTTCTCCTCAGCAGTGGGTGGCTATCGTAGATCATTTCAACTGTAGTACAATATTAGTTGAGTAATAGTTGATTGTGGTAGCAAACATTAGCAAAGGTTGGAAAGATTAGCTTTTTTTGTACTGTCCAACCAGAGAAGAGTTATTCTATAGGTGGTAATAAAATGGTGAACTTTTCTTCCAAGAATTTTCCTATTTTTTCTCATATTTTGGAACATATTTATCTCATTTTATCTGTCTCTTTCCTTCAGTTCTACGACTGAAACTCAACAAGCAGTTATTTGTGGTGGAATATTTCATCTCCTCATACTTATCTGTTTATAACCCACTGCGTCGCGAGACAGGTCGAGCCCGGACCTAGAACATCTGAACCTGTCATCTTGCATGCTGCTCAACCCATACATCAACCTGGTGCTCATGGACCTGGGAGACTGCTGCAAGTAAAGATTTTTTCTGCTTTTTTTTGGGGGGTGGAGTTTCAGAAGAGGGGCAGAGGTAAAGGTTGTGGATTCTGTATCAAAATTGCAATACATCTAATCAACAGATCTTTTTGGGCATGGCTGTATGTTTTGTTTTTTTCAAATTATAATAAAATAAAGTAAGAATGGGTAAGAGTAAGAGTTTTGATTTTTAATTAGCATTTTTAAAACTTATATTCTACCAATTTTATTTAAAATCAAGACATGGCATAGCTGTGTGTCCTGCCTCTAAAACATTTGATGGTGCTGTTTGAATTGGAAATTTTTTTTTGTTTAGGCTGTAAGATGAGTCATAAAAAGTGTTGAAATTAAAATCGGTGATTGTATTGTTTGAATACATACTGTGAGAAGTGGGTTTATTTTATGTGGAGACTAATTCATATTTCTGGACAGATTCACCTATTAAAATGTGGCCCCAATGCAAACGGAAGGGATTTCAAAAGGGAATATGACATCAGTATTTGTGTCTGGATTGTTGTTAAGGCTTGTAACACCCACATTCATTAAAAACAGATACTTTTTACGAGTCAGCGCTGACAAGACGAAACCCGTGCATAAGAAAGTGGGACGGCAGATGACATCAAGGCTAAAGAGAGGCACAGAATTGATGACTCAAGCCACGAACACCGTCAACGAGTGCTGCCAGATACAAGACATCAGGGATGCAGGGATTGGGTCATGATTGAAGATGCGCTCGGAGAGTACACAACGGGGAAAGCAACATTGGGTAGAGAATGTCGCAACTGGCCACTTGGAGCTACAAATGCTGAAATTGAGACCCTGATAGAAGAGCATAGCGAACATGGAGATGCTGTGATCTTCACGGATGGATCAGTCAACAGAGGAGTCAAATCGGGCTAGCCTTCAGTGTCAGATTTGATGGGGTAGTAGTGAAAGAGCAATGCAGAGCAGCTGCACTGACAACAGGCAGTATGTGTATGGAGATAAAAGCCATAAGTGAGGCTCTACACTGGATCAAGAACACAAGCCATTAGCCAGCAGTAATCATTACTGACTCTGTGAGCTCACGACAGAAGGTACAGAAAGGGATGCTGTATGCGAATTGGAAGGCTACAATCAGGGAGAGCAGCCTGGAAAGAGTGGCTTGATCTTCTGCCTGGGCCATGCAGGGGTAACCGGCAACGAGAGAGCAGACAAGCTGGCTGGAGAAGCAAAAGTGGGAGGGAATTTGACACTGGACCCACAACCGTCCAAACCACTGTAGAGGAAAATTTGAGAAGAATAGGGCGGATAGCGGTTCCCACACCCTAGGTAGATTGAAGGAGAAGGGGATCCAAAGAGGAAAAGGGAAACACAGCCACCTGTGCGGACCAGTCCAATAGATCTCCAACCAGATTATGATGGAGACTGTAAGCAGACAGACTCTGGGATGGATCCTTAGGAGGAGGGGGGGAGAGCAGAGATAGACATGTTCCGACTGTAGCAACCCCAATACTGAAGACAAGATTTGACAAGGTGTGACTTTGGAAATGAATGTCAGAGAGAGTAATACTGTTGTTTATTCTAGTGTTTAGTATGTAGGGAAGACAGAGGCAGAAGATTTCTGTTCCTATCCATATTTGCTTCATGAGTTTGATCTCATTAACTCTTTGAGGATGCGTTGTTTTAGGGTACTTGAAAAATCGAAGCATAAAAATGCTATTCATACAGGTTTTTTTCAATTCTGTTTTCTTTATCTGAAACTTAAAAAGGAGACTATATCATGCTTGCCATGAAATATACAAATTGTGTTTCTGGTTTGGTGTATTATGGTTGGAAATGTGCTCCGTTACAGCTTTTTTTCTGCTGCTGGTAGGACATATGTGTCCGCTACATCCTTATACCGGGTGCCTATTGCGGATGGGATCGGGTCAGGTTGGGTTGGGTCGATCACCCGACACGTTTGTTGTTGAGGCGACAAGTCGGGCGTAATCGGCTTGTGCCACAATAGCTGCTTTGCGCCTTCCATCTGGCTAGCGAACTGACATGACCCGACTCGACCCTACCCGACCCCCCCAATGGGCTCCCCATATTGAAGAGTCAATTGCTTTGTCTTAGAATTCATCTTCAAGCCAGTTGTGTTATTTGATTTACTTTTGCATTCTGTGTTGTGCAAATGAACTTTTTTTTTGCCCCTTGTTCATACATAAATGTTGTTTTTTTTAATCTCCTTTTAGAAAATTAAAAAGCCTGGACTTATGGCGGATGAGATCTGTGAACAGTGAAGGTCTGGCGCACTTGTACAACAATTGTCCTCTGTTGGAAGAACTAGATGTTGGGTGGTGGTAGGTGGAACTGCTGTTTATTATCTTGTTTATTCTTTTCCATTCTTGTGCTAGTCCTTTTCAAGTCGTCCACCCCTTTACTGTCTCTGCTGGTTTGAAAGTTTTGTCGTTTATGATTAGATATAACTTTTTCATTGTACATTGAACCTGACATACACCGTACCCAGACTCAGCATAGCTTCAGACTTACTGGTACTGAAAAAAGATGGAATCCTTAGAGTCTTGTTCATTAAAATCAACAAAATACCATACACTGTTTTCTCTGTTCATTTTTCTCCTGCCACAACTTCTGTCTACTCTAGTCATAACAAGTGGCAAACAAATAGATCACTGCTTGAGCATTGTATGTTAAACTGTGCAATGATAATAAATCACTACTATCGGATACCACATCATTTTGTGATCAATCAATGGCTTTCTATGAATACATTGAGACATGCATTCCAAACACTTGTATGTTAATATTGTTGAATATGAACTATTTGCCTGTGTCAAGTAAGGTTAAATCGCAAAACTTGTATATCTGTGTGTTCATGTGTGAATGTCACCTGTGTGTATAAAGGATGGGGGTGGGGGGGTGGGGTGTAAGTATGTGTGCAGGATTAGCAAAGATGCTCATAGATTAATATTATAATGAAAAGAATTATGATATTGTCTCTGCCATGTAGGGTGGTAGTTTGTTGTGATTAACACCTGGCTGTTTAGACTAGCTCCTGTGGTATTAATCACATTGTATTTGAAGTAAATATTGTTTCATGGAACCCTGCTACTTTTAGTAGGGAGCATTGGTGGAGGTCACAAAGGTGTTTATTTGTGTATGAGTGTGTGTGTGCATTTTTAGTATGAACTTTCAGTTTTGTTGTATGCCCCCAGCTTACCAGCGTACAGTTTCTATTAATTTTTTGGGTGACTGGTCAAGGTCAGGAACTACACATTATGGGAGACAAGACCAAGAGAAATATATATCAACCTGCTGTGGAATGCTTGCTTCATACTGTGTCAGTTGGGGTGCACAACTCTTAGAGTTAAAATATATTTTTCCTCTCGTTGTCCCTTTAGTTCTCAGCCTCACCCCTAGACTTGGCCAGGACATCACATTTATGATAGCGATATAAGGAAGGAAAAATTTGTTCTCTCTTGATACTAAACGGCTTTCGAGTCGAAAAGTGGCACGAAAATAAAAAGGACATCTGGCCCATACACAACAATACTGCTTGACACATGTGGGATGGACATCCGCAAAGAACTGTCAATCTAAAAGGTTTATGTTTGTTAAATATTGCTTTCACAGACACCTCAGATTCACTTAAATTAGACTTTTGATCTGATGATTTAGCTGAATGTGAGGTCTACTGTAGCCTAAATTCATTCTCTGACTAACTTCTGAATTTTCAATGTTGTCACTTATCCCATTCAGTATTTGATGGAGGCTGTCTTTGGTACATATTTCATCTTTCTTACTTCTTAATTATTTTCTTAACTGGATCGATAACAACAACTCAATTATTTTCTTATGTTATTTGGCTTTTGTCTACCCTCATCAGGCCTTTATGGTTAGAGTGACAAACATTGTAATTAACTTTATTACTTCAGTTCATTAATTATGTACAGAGCATCAATTAGTAATAAACATGCATTTCCTCATTCTCTCCAGCACTGATTTGAAGGCGTATACTCAATGCTTTGTCCAACTTGCAGAGAAATGCGTCAAGCTTAAAAAAATATTCATGACAGCCAACAGGTAAGGGTATATCAGAACATATTTCTGTATTGGAGAATGTGATTTTGAGATAACTCTTTGTGCAATTTTACCATTTCTATGCACTTTTATGTATAGGTGAAGATCTTTCAGCTCTTTCAGTTGTCATCCTGCAGATATCTCCCAGCTATGTGTGATCCTTTTAAAAATGAACAAAGTTGTCTTTCCAATCATTTTTTTTAAAACAATAGTTTTATTATAATTTCATTTAAGGCTTGCCTAACGAAGCAAGAATGGTAAAAAAAAAAGTTATGGAACAAGAAGGCCCTCCCACCTTGCAGGGGAAATGGTGAAAAAAATTTTGGAGCTATTTTTTTCTGAAAATATATCTTCAAAACTTGACATTTAGAGGCCGACTTTTGCGTTGACACATTTGGGTTTAATAGGAGGTTAGGTTAACATGGAAAATAACACACCTAGAAAAGGGAAAAGGAAAAGACTTGCATTTGTTAATTAAAACATCTGCTTTCAGTTTTTCTTCAACGTGCATGTCAAACTACATTTAAATGCTGTGCATTGATGACATGCAGAGGTGTGTTAAAGTACATGCAAAGTTTTAAGATATAAGTTATTAAATTATACAGTGCACAGTGCAAATGGTTATTAGTTATCATCAACTTTGTCAAAAAGAGCTGAAGTAAAATTATGACTGTTTACACAGAACTGTCCAAGATTCTGACCTCAAGTCTCTTGCGCTTCATTGCCCCAACCTAGAACAGATCGATGTTCTTGGGACTCGTGAAGTTACAAGAAATGGAGTTCTTTTGTGAGTAATATGGTACTTTTTCAAAATTGTAAACAGTAATGGATGACTAAGAAATATTTATTGAAATTTAAGATTGTAGTCAGACTTGACCCCCCGCCCCCCCGCCCCAACCAAAGCTTACAGTCAAAGTAGTTCTAAAATGGTACTTTATTCTTCTTACAATGCCTAATAATAAGCATGACCATGCTGATTTTCATTCCTGTGTTCATTTCTCGAAGCTGATTTAGTGCCCACAGAGCAAAGCTACTCTCAGGGTAACCCATAGGATTTGCAAAATTTGACCCCAAAATACCTTTGTAATTTATAACTGAAAATTTGACAGTGCCCATGGAAAAAAGTGAAGATTTGCAATTGGACAGGCTGATCGAGAAAGATCACATTTTACTTGGTTATTGTCTCTTATCCAAGATACGAGTTCAGTAGTGAATAATTAACTGTCCGTTCATCAATATAGGAGCACATGTCTTAATCGGATAACTAAGAAAAAGTAGATTAATGACTATCTTTGTCTTGAGTAAAAACAAAATGTTAAGAAATAAGCAGTCATAAAAGTGTAAGACATTTTGTCCCTTAGAATTTGCAACTTCCCCAAGTTTGAGAACCGCTTTCACTTCCTTATGAAATGTTTTGCCTTGAAATGAAATGTAAATCATAGTTTCTGTGACATATCTAATTCAGAAATGCCAATTACTTTAATGCAACTCTAACAAGTTTTTGTCTTTCTTTTTTTCACTGCTGTGATTCTATTTTTGCCTTTTTTTTCTTTTGTTTTCAGTGTTCTAGAGAAGTGCAAAAATCTGATCTTTCTGGACTTGTCATTTTGTTTGGGGATTGCTACAGAAGATGTCTGGGCATGGCGCTCTTTGTTCCCAAATGTGGCCATCAAAAAAAGTTTCCAGCATATATCAATAGTGCATTAATTATCTTTAGGGTGCTTGTAGTGTTTTTGAAGGTGTTGAAGGCTCATACAGACTGCAAGGTTTTGCTGATTCTTTTATTACTCCGTCCATCAAACCATTATATGGCTAAAATGTTCAAGCTTAGATCAAGTGAGTGCATGTAAAGTGTTAAACTGATATGAAATGTAAGACAGGTAAATGAAATGTTTACCCCATTAGTTTTTATAGGGTGAGGAAGTAAGAATTCAGAAGAGTTCAATAAGGGTTATTTCTTCTGATATACCCTACAGAGTATTGGATTGCATTTCTGTCATGGAAATATTGATACATCAGTTCTGTTGTAAGTCACAGTTGTGCTGACAGATCTTGTAAGTCCAAAAGTTATTAGTTTACGGCTCATGTAGTGTTGCGTGACTTTGGATGGGAGTTTCACTAGACTTCACATAAAGTATATATTTTTACCTTTAGGAAAAGAACCGTCTTTTCAATTTCCTTTCTTTTTTAAAAGATGGCCCGAATGCTAAAAACTGAATCATTACATAAATGCAAAAATTTTTTTTTTCAAAGTTCAATATTCATGAAGTCCTTTCTATACTTTTAGATATTAGTGCCTTGCTTCCTGAAGTAACTTCAAACGATATTTTCAAGAAAATTGAGTCAGTGTTTTTGCGTATGTGATTGACTCATGTCATTAATGCTGTTTCCATTTGGCTGTCAATATTGAAGCATAATTGTGAATGTGGTTGACTGAAACTACTACTGTTCTGATACAGTTCACTAATTTTATAGATCAAGAAGCAGTACTATTTTAAGAATAGCTTGAAGTTTGAGCTCTATTTGTTAAGGTACAGGACACTTTAATGTAACCATTTAAAGGTTAACAACTCTCATGAGAATCTCCATGATGATGTTCTTGATCTTTTTTGTCACCAGTTGATTGTATCTTAAAGTTGCCCAATTTTTGGTACATCCAATGTGGCTGAGAAATGCTTCTCAATATACAATATACTATGGTGCACACTATTGCACATTGTATTCTTATTTCACTACTGTTTATCCCTTTGGTGGCTGGTCCCCTGAGCCTACAGGAACTATGCACCTGAGCTCCCTATAAAGTCTACTGTTGCGTTTGCACTGATGCACTCTGCTGCTTTTTCTTTCCTCATCCTTACTCTCATCATTTTTCCTCTACTTCTTTTTTATGTTTGTCTTTCTCTTGTAAACTGTTATTTCTGGGGTGCCTTGATTGTCGAAGCAGACTTGTGCTGTTGAGGCTAGAGAGGTGAGAAGAGTAAGCCTGATTCCCCATTTGGACTTCTCTGTTGACATCCACCTCTTGGCGCTCATATGACCTTTTGCAGTTGCGAGCACCGTAAGACCGTACTAAAACTAAACAAACACAGAGGTGTGCGACCAGTGAAAGGAAGGGAAAGGGTAGCAGAGGTTCAGATGTGGGCTCAGGTTCATAGGGTTATTGTAAATAATGAACTTAACCTTTCCAAACATTGCCATGGCCAAACTTTACGTTATTTGGTCAGTGTTGGCAATGTTCCAAGGGGGTGGCATTCACTTTTATATTTTTTACATTTTAAAATTGTATTCTTAATTGTAATATTCAGTGGTTGTGAGTATTATTTTTCCCCCCAAGTGTGCAGTATCACACACATCATAGATGAGTTGGTTTTTTTGTTGAATTGAATAAAAACTTAATTTGAGTAGCCTTTTACTTCATTAAGCTGTGGTTGCAAGTGTCAGACTTTTCCGAGATGCATGCTTAATCCTATCTACCCAGGAGTCAGAGGTGTAAAAACGAGGGGAAAAGCGTCCAAATGAATAAATTTGCAATCCAGGAGTCGAACTGGGACTTTGTTGTAAAGGGCAGGTACCTTACCTCTTTATTCAGCCCCTGGGTTACGTTAACTCGGCAAATGTGCTTTCGCTTTTGTGTGCTACAAGTCCCATTAATATTTGTAAACATTATGATATGCGATCTGAACAATGACTTCAAAACACAGTGAAATAGGTCACTTTGAAGATGAACTGTCATCTTGATAGAGTTCACAAATTATTGTTCATCTTTGCTGATTTAATACTGTTGACCAGTGTTGAAATCCATCAGAGGTTTGTTTTCAAAGTTGAAGTGTTTGTGCAAAGTCCGCAAACTATAATGATTTATGTACCTGTGTCTATTTTCTATAATTAAAAAATTGTTCTATAAGGAAGTAATTTTCATGGGAGCATTCTTTAAAAATTTCTAGTTTACTGACTGATGGACCACCTTGTGCTTGTATGGACAGAAAGATTGAAATAAACTTTTTTAAAAACCTCCTATCCTGTTGAAGAAAATCTGTGCCACGATTTTAAGAATTAGTACTTTTCAAACCAGAACTAGATTTGACTTTGACTCTAAACAAAACAAGACGTGGCACTAGCTTCTTGTATGCCTTGGTAAATGATGAATTTTATACATTTCTTTTGACAATTTTATAAGACTTGCTATTTAAACATATCTGAGGTTGGTTCATTATTGTGTAGTGTGGTTTTGTCTCCCTTTTCAAAACAGTAAGTTTAGTTTTGAAGCAGGACCTCTGATTCACTATCTAGCCCTGATAGGACAGAGCTACGAGGGACGAAAGCTAACAAGAACTTCTCAAATATCCTTGTTTCAGAAATTCCCTTTTAAGGGTTTCCGCAGTACGGCCTAGTTTGACACCACTAATGTACCAGTCCTCTTGTCTTAAGGTTGCCCTTATGCTTTAAGGTTTTTACAGTGCAGTAGTAAAGGGTTGTTACTGGTAATTTTTACTAATTTTAATTCATTGTTTCAAGGCAGTGGTTGAAATACTTAAAATAGCTTCATCTTTTAATTACGTGAAGAAATTTTTACGACATAATTTTACAATTCTTTGTATGTACATTAGGTTCAGGCGGTATTTTCCCCCTTTTTTTAAAAAAGAGATTGCCTTTGTTGAAAATGGAAATGGATTCACTCTTCAGGGATATTAGGTCAACCTGCTTTCATGTCAAATATTTTTTGTTAACTGAAAGTTTGCATTTGTTTCCAACATTATAATCACTCTTGTTTTGGTTTTTTTAATGATATAATTAAAACATTATTTAAGACTTTCTGGGCATTTATCAAAAATGTTGTGTTTTGTCATTTCTTGGTTATTACTTGTAGTACACTGTATGTAGTATGCACACGGCTCCCAGTCTGTGTCATCATGGTTTTGCCTGAGGTTCCATTTTCCTGAAGATACTGATTTTTATTTATCATACTTAAACTCCACCCTAGTTTTACTCGTCCTTCAAAGACCATTTGTGAGACAGCGTGGTGGAATCAGGCTCTCGTCAAAATAATCAAAGTGAAGAAACTTGCATTTTTCCGCTGGTTTGTGAATTTTTATCTAATTTTTTTTTTTGGCTCAACACCTTTCATGCCAATTAAAAAACTCATTTCTGTGTGGATTTTTCTGAAAAGCGTTGATTAAAGGCACAAAAAATGTAAATGTTCAGTTACCACGGACTCTTAAGCTAAGTAAAAAAATAATCTTTGGCGGCCATTTTCTCTCTAACTTTACCTCTGAAAACAAGTGACCCCCACCTCCTTCTTTCGCAAATATCTCGACTTGTCCTCAAGATAAATTGATATTTTTTTCATCCACACAAAGGCAAGTGAATAAGCTTTAAGATGATACCAATAACTCCACATGCCCAAAAATTGACGAGCGCCTGATTCCACCACGATGCCTCACATTTACCCTTTGGGCCCTCACCAGTGGCGGGTAAAACTGCCCGTAGGCCAAGCCACCAGTACTGCGGTGAGCAAGACCCTGTCCCCAAACCGGCCCGCCTGGGACAAAAGGCGTGCTGGAAACTGTGTTTACTACACAGGACATTACTGATTATTTTGAAGATCTTTCTGAATTAGATGCTAGTAAGTGAGTGGTTGGCGGGTGCTCTGGTGTGGTTTGCTTCTTCTTTCCTATCAAACATCTATTGTCTTTAGCTCCCCTCCTTCTTTTTTGTGTTTGTTACTCTCTTGTAACACCTTTAATCTTCGGCACTTCTATGACCTTATTGTGTTGTAAGTGCCGCAAAACTCTTACTAAAACAAGATGCTAGTAATGACAAGGACTACCATGAGTGAGGTATGAAATGTGATTCTGACAATGGCATGAATGTTAGTAATATTATATCTCTCAGAAGCTCAAACAAAGGGGGGATGGAAGCATCAGAAGATCAGGGCTCCTACCGGTACTCATCATAGGGAAAAGTTCGAGTTTGTTCACCTAACATCCTGCTTTCGCATGGGTGGTCAGATCTAAGGCATAGACTTGTATTTACAATCATAGGAGTTTCTTATAATATTTGTGAGACCGAAAACAATTTGATTTCACTGTATATTGTTTTGGTGGGGGGTCTGCGCTACTTGAATTCACAATTTTTTTTTAATCGGCGAACTTAAATCATTTGCAAAATGTTAAAAGGGGCACTACCTAACCGGGACCCAAATACATTCATGAGACTGGGTAACTCAAATTGCATATATTCGAAATTTTTCACAATAAACGAAAGGGGCTTAATAAAAAAAAAGAGTGCAGGAGAAAAAAACTTGGTGTACAGTATTTGTCACCTTTGGGAAATTCCTTTTTATTATTTTACTCTACATGTATTGTTATAGTCATATCAGTTCAACATTCCTGCCAGGTTCAAATATGTCATTTTAAAAGTGTGCCTAAAATGGAGGGATTTCAGGGCTAACTTTTTCTTTGGAGAGGGGGGGGGGGGTTGTTAGACTGGACGACAGATTGGTACAAAAGAACAGAAAGCTGAACAGAAAAAATGATAAAAATACGAAGAGACATCCATCCATACTTAGCCAAATAGGGGCTTACTATTACCAGTCTAGCCTTGCAAGCAGGAGAATAACATTCTTTGTTATCCTCCAACTGCAGCGGGTCAGTGTAGTTTAAGAGCAGGACCTCCAAGCACATCCACCTCTGAAAGAACCGAGCCAAATAAATGTACATGAAATCATCATTGCTGTACATGCCTACTCTGGGGGCTCTGTAGACAGATGACAGTGAAGTCAAAGAGTCTCAAGAAAAATGATCAAATACGATTGTATGTGGTTTGTATCAGTTTTAAGTTTAATGTGAAAATGGAATACAGTGGGAGAGAAGAAATGTAATGGCTATATAATGTACAATGCTTTCAGAAACATTTTTTCCAAGAATTTTTTTTTTCACCAAATTTGTAAAAGTCAAACCAGCTGATAGAAAAATTGTAGGAGCAACATGAATGTTAGACTTCCATTAAAGAACATGTAAGTGGTCATTGTCACTCTGAGACGATGAGGTTGCGTTAGGTGAAAGTGAGAAACAACTTGATTAACACTGCCTTAACAGAGAGTACAGTAGTCTCCGCCTAAGATCCCGGTGCTCAAGAGCAAGGTAAATGTGCATTACATGTATCTTAGCTGATGCACCAAGGGAAGAATCAACACTGACCCATGTTAATACCTACAACTGGTAACATCTTCTCCCTTCTCTAAAATGAACTGACGTGACCCCTGGGTGGGTTCATGACATATGGTGGGCATAGAGTGGTCAGCTTTGATGACCAATCACAAAGGCATGAGGCATGCCATTTTCACTTATTATCCTATCGTGAGTCTCAAGATCTACGCTTATCCAGTTGCCACCACGTCCCCCCTTTATCTGTCCAAAATTAATAGCTTTTCATCTCTGACCGAGTTCCCCCGCCCTTGTCATAATGTACCATTACGTTGTGACCACACCAATTAAAATGCAGTCTGTCTCGCAAATTCGGGAATGGAGACGACTGTTGCAATGATTAGGGAAGAATTCAGTTTGATGTGCTCGCGTCTGGAGCAAACTTGTAGGTCCTATCCACCCAGCGTGTGACGAACGTTTAGGTGGACAGCTCAGATGCAAGTGCGATGTTTGGGGAAAACAAACGCATCTGTCAGCTCACACCTCGGTGTGATTCTGTCTGGAGAAAACATTATACCGTTTCATCAAGTTTTACAATGCTTATGTGATCACATTCATGAGAGTGGCTGATCTTTCATGTAGCAGGCTGTCCAATGATCTCAACTTTTCACTCTTGGTTGATCGGCTGTGCATGCCGAAGGTTTTTGTTCCCTAAATTATAATCTGAAAAGAAGAATTTTAGCCGAATGTAGACCTTCTGAGAGAATCAGAGTGGAATTTTAGGGGTGTAGTAAAAATTCTGTTTTCTTAAAACAGCAGGATCTTAAGTGAACTGGGATCGTAAGCAGTAGCTAGGATCTTAGGCGGAGACTACTGTATATATATATAATCTTTCACCCTTTATCATATTACATGTTACACACAGTTGTCTTAATCTGATTTGTCAAGAGTCAAGGCATCAAATTTATGAAGATCACAAGAGTATGAACATTTTTTCTAATCTATTGAACAGACTGAACAAAGTCAATTCAGTCAATAGATAAAAACTTTGCTGAGGGATATTCTATCCCAAGGGATACCAAAAAAAATGGAATATCTTAAAAACCCAAAGGGATGAATATAAATAAACATTCGGAGAGAACCTACTGTGCTGACCACTTCTAAATCCCTTGTTGGCCCCTGGCTCCTTGAAGCTGGGCAGCCACTGCACCCTACCTCCTGATGGAAATTCCTCCTATAAGTCTCCTTCACGAGAGTGTAGATTGCACCGTTGATGTTAAAGTGTTATTCTGAATTATCGAATGGATGGCCGTGGTTTGAATACCCAACAGAGCTTCATTATACTTGGGTTGTTAATGAGTTCTCAAGGTTCTTATATATACACTTCCACATGGCTTGGTCCTATCTCAGATTAACATTAAATTCAGAGGTCATGTTTAATAGGAACATTTCACCCATACCGTACTACACACCTTCGGGCTGACGCATGTGCTCAAGTGAGCAAAAAGGCCAAGATTGTGTATACTGTGGAAAACTCTTGGACCCATTTGGTTACCGGTATGTCTTTTCCACTTTCTAACTCTGAGGACATTAAGGCAGTCGCCGAAAATAAAAAGTATACAATATCTAACGAGTCACAATTATCAATTGAGAAAAAAATGAACTAATAACACCAGAACCTTTTGTATAAAAGATAGTGGAAACATCCTCCTTAAAATACATAACATGTATATCAAACACAAAAAGAGATTTATTTTATGCTTGGAAGAGAGCAGCATTGAAAAAAAAATGTATTCCTTTTAAAAGATAATGCATATGGAATGAGGATTCTTTTGAAATGCTATGTCAATTACAATTATTCAATAATGTATGATTTGGTCATCAAGGTTTGGAGAAAACAAATGCTGATAACATCTGTTTTCCTTCTTTTTTTCTACATTTACATTCTGAGAATTGAATCATTCACCAAAGGTGAAACGACAAACTGCACAACGGGAAACAGGGAGCGCCACCTACACAGGCTCTCCAATAAGGAACTGCACCATTTTTAAAAAAAGAGTATAATGACAACAACAGGTATCTAGCAAATAAAATGTAAGAAAAGCTTGGAGTAAAGCATGGAGGCCCATCTCGTTGATACAATAATATGAAAAAAAAGTCAATTGTCTCAAAACTGAGTATGTCTATTTTGAGTCTTCATGAACAAAGCTTTTCTATGCATTTTGGATTATACAAAATGGCTTTAAAATATCATATCCATCATATCTAATAAAAAACAAAAAACAAAGGGGAGGAGAACATTATAAGTATAAGAACACATTGCACATGGTTTATATGGAAGAGGAAGAAGCTAAAAACTACTGTTGCGATGAAGTACGCCTTTGTATGAAAATTGAGTACACTTAATATAAAAGGAGTGCTTGTGATAAAACCTTTCCTACACAGCATAAGAGTTACACTTGAGTCAAAACCTACTAATTGTCTTAATCAGGATCAATATACAAGCGAATATGTTAAGTAAAAATAACACTTTAATAAGCACATGAAGTGCATTGAAAATGAAAACATGGTATTAAGATAGCTGAGAGTGGATACTATGATCATGAAATAAGAGCTTGCATTTGAAACCTTTTCTACCTAGCTCAAAGTGTTCCGAACAGGAAACCAGCACATTTCTGCAGCATCTATGCCTAACAGAAAGAGTCTATAGCAAACTGAACTGACCCTATAGCAAGCACACATGATTTATGTTTGGAAAATGAAAGCAGCTCAATTAAAACTATTGTGATTTGCAAGCAGGTTCTCAGGATAGACATATCACTGATAGATAATTGGACACAAAATCTGCGAAAGTTGAGAAATAACAAATTACACAAATTTGCCTTAGAGAAAGCAGGCTTAAGTTTGGGAGAACTTTTTAAAAAGATGTTGTAAGGGTAGTATTGGGGGATAATATGAGGACAGAACTCTTTTACAACAAAGATAGGGAAATCTCATCAAAGTGAGATGAAAGCAAATTTAAATCTATTCCATGGTGGTGTGTGTGTGTTGATAAAGACAGTGTTTTGTTGTTTTATTAGTTTTTGTGGGGGGGGGGGGGTCACAAGGTCTTTTTTATTCAAGGGGGAGTGTGTTTGTTGAGTTAATCTTTGGCTTTGAGATTGTTGTTTCTAGTGGGTGGTTGGCGGGTGCTCTGGTGTGATTTGCTCCATCTTTCCTATCAAAAACTATCGTCCTTCTGTCTCCTCTTCCTTTTTTGTGTTTGTTACTCTCTTGTAACACCTCTGATCTTCCGCACTTATGTGACCTTATTGTGTTGTAAGTGCCGTAAAACTCTTACTAAATGAAAATGTAGTTTCTTTTTTAGTTTTTATGGGGTTTTAATCTTTGGGGGGGGGGGGGGGGTTCATATAGTCAGGGGGTGGATATTTTGTTTTGGTGGAAAGAGGGGAGGAGGGGAATGCACAACTTTAAGCTTTAAAATTGTTTTTGCTTTCTGCTTTTCCAAGGGGAAGAGGGTAAAGGAGTAGAATGTTTTGGAAAACCAAGGTGTTTCAAGGACTGAGAGAAAGAGAGAGACTTTCCTTTCTGTACCATTCCTTTTTTGTTGCCGACTATATATTGATTCTTTCAGAAGTATAAGGCAGCAATTATATATGTTTTAGCTATAACTGAAAATATTGTTCGCACCGTGTTTGCTCCATGAATACATTTCATTGTTCAAACAAGTCCGCTTCATTACAGTCACATTCATCTTGCTGTGGTCCAACAGGCCTATAGTAATAGGTGTTACCACTGGTGAGACTTCTTTTTGTGATTTATGTTTGCATCTTTTCCATTTGTCCGGTGCCTGAATATTATTGAAATCTCTAAATGGAACACAAATTTTGTACTTTAATTTTTTTTTTATGTTCCTGCTTGTTTTGTTTTCTTTTATGGGAGTGGTGCTTCCATTTGTTTAGAGATCAGGCATCAAAAGTGCTTTGTTTTTTGTCTAGTGATTTTAGTTTTGCTTTTTTTGTTTTTTATTTTTTTGTTTCACAGTTTTAAATTGATGTCGGTTTTCAAATCCCAGTTACTGCAGATATGTTTCACATGCTCGGCAGACCTGGAAAGCAGCCAGACAAAAACAACACAGACATAATATATATCGTGTTTTTTATGCCTGTGGTATTCAGCACTGTTGCCAAATTGGCATCTCATGGTTTAAGTCAGTATTTTATTAACAAGGAAGACGAAAAAGTATCACATCATTAGGCAAAGCCTGACCATTTGACAGACTACGTTGTCATGACAACCAGGTATAATGGTCTGTATATGTAGTTTTCCTTCTGAAATTCGGTTGAGAATCTGACAACCCTGAACTTGTCTTCTTCACATCCACATTATTCCGAGAAGGTGACTGGTAACTGGTGGAGCGATTACGTCGAGAAGATGGAAGGAACGCTGACAAAGATGATGGTGTTGTTGCTGGTGATGATGGCGATGTTGCCCATGGTGATGAAGAGACAGGCGATGATGGATTGGATTGGATCTGTCTCTTTAAGAACAGGTCTCGGGCTGACTTTGGGTCTCGAGGTGACTTGAAGTCCTCCTGGAGACAAGGACATGAATGTAAAAGACAACCTCTTTACTTTAAGGCAACAAAGATCAACCAATGTTCAGAAAAATAGGAGAGGTTGCTAATCTTTTCCTTCTAATACTTCTATGAGATCCCATCACCTGGAGCAATGAAATTGTCTCGAACCCAAACATAGAGCACAAATCTTATAAAAAATGCCACGATGGATGTTAGTTTACCATAATTTTTTTGTTTTGTCAGCTAATATTTTGTGAAAACGCTTTCCAATCTCTCTCTCTCTCTCTCTCTCCCTCTCTCTCTCTC